TTCTCCTACATAAACTCCTTGGTTTTGTCCAGCATTTATGTTGCAACAGAGAGGCTGTTATCATGTCACAATATGGTATCCCACTGGCATTATCTCCTTACAAGAGTAAATATCTGTATAAATAGTTGTGGAGAAAAAAATATTTTGGGAGTATATGCATATTACCTCTGAGCACTGTGCTTAAGCTACCATACTGACATTTTTCACTTCTGCTCTTGCTGAATTTGAACTGCAGTTGCAAAAATTAATGGCTGCTTTTTTATTTTGTCCTTCAGTTTCAGCATCCTTTTTGCACAATGAGTTTCTGAGACATTCTATGGTTGTCAAAACATGTGCAAAATACTGAAACAGTAGTAAATATAAATTAACCATCTAGATAAATATAGGCCTTACTGGAGAACAATAAAAAGATGCAGACAATAGAAGGCAGGACTATTGAAACAACGGTTTCCATCATATCCCTTCAGTTCCAAAAATATCACTAAAAGGTACAATTGTTCTTGTCAATCACACCTTTGTCTCAATTTGACTAAAACCTTCCACCTACATTAGAAATCCATTAGCCATACTGTTTTTATGACAGGTTCATTACTCCACGAGGCGGGATTTTTTTCCCCCTATTTATCAAATCATTCTTTAGACTCCATTTTTGTGTCTATTTTACATGGCAGCCTGAGACCACAGAGCTGCCTGTGTGCAATGATTTAGGGGAACTCAAACAGGACCAAACAAAATAGATGGTCACTGTGAATAATTCATGACATTTCTTCAATTTCTTCAGCATATATCCAAGAGGCAAGGCTACTGATGGTAGGAAATGTTTTTGATTATGAGGGCATTATGAAGATTTGAGATTGAAGTTAACAAAAAGAAATAAACTCAGACCCTGACAGATGAGTTGAAATGATTAAGTTATCAAAAAATAATTATGTTCCTGAATACAGGGTGAGATATTGTCTCAAACTATTATTGAATGATGGAAGTTTGTACTAACTGGTGACTGTGGGCATCCAGTCTTGGGAATTTTGAACTGAAAAGATTTTCAGAGATAATATTTCACTTTTGGAAAATAAGGTTTTATGGGGATTTCAAGTCTAAAACCATAGGCAACTTTTGAAACAAATTTGCCCTGATTTTGGTTTCATTTTCTAATGAAAAGTGACTGAAAAAAAATGTTTTTTAAGTTATTTTAGAATACAAGCTCCATTTAAAAAATGTCCTTAAGTACTTTTGAAAACTATGACCTTTGTACATTTCACAAGAAACAAAGAAAAAAAAAAGAATGGAATTGACAGAATGTTTGAAAGACTAGCAAACTACATGTATATACTCTGAGAGGGAAAACCGTTTTTTATCTGTTATGTTTTCAGCTTTTTGTATACATACATGACTGTAGTTCAAGAAGAGATAGTGCATAAATTATGACCTATTTTTGATAGATTTTGAATAATATTAAAGGAAGGTAAATTTACCTTTCCAAAATGTCTGTGTTCATTAAAAAGTTTAAAAGTGCTGATAGTGAACTCAGAGAAGAGAAATATTAGTATGTGTTTTCTGCACTGAACAGAAAACTCTTAGCAATACATGTACAGATATAAATCTCAAATTAATAATTTGCCATAAAATTTTCAGAGCTGTACTGAAGATTCAAAAGGTCTGTCAATGACCTTTGTGTGGGTTGTTAAATAAATAACCAGACATGTAGATCCCAGTGCACAGTGCCTGTCTACACAATAGACACCCAGACTAGTTCAGTGGAAGGGCTTATGCTAGCTTACAACTGGTGCTGTGCAGTTACAGTGCTTATGGTCTCCAGCTGTCCTGTCTAGAGTATTCCACAGAATTGTGACATATGGGTTTACCAGATTGGCCAAGCTAACAGTAATTTCTGTGATCCTTTAAGGATGTGTCCCAGAAGTTTACTTGGCATTTGTCAGCTAATGCCTGACAATTAAACTACAATGTTTCCCATCAAAAAATATTGATCCTCGATAATGAATCTTGCTAGATTGTTTATTTGGGGGATTGAAACAAGAGAAACACAGTCTATCCATCAAACATAAAACATTAACAAAATAAAAATTCATTGCAACACTGGATTGAATTTGAAAAGTAATTCTTAATTAAAAAGTATTACTTGCAATGAACTCTCAATGTTGCATTTGCAATTTTCTAGCTTATAGTTTCTGAACAGTTAGAACATTGTTTCAAAATGATGTCATGGCTTAAATTAACCTATACTTTAAATAATCTGGGTGGTGGTAGTATTTTTGTTTAAAGAATTAGATTAGATAATTACAAATGAATAAACTATTTTGCTCTGCTAGGCAAATAAAGGTTTCACTTCTACTGAAATTAAATGGAGCACTACAAATTCAGCTGTAACAAAATATTCATTTTTGTTGATTTCACAGCATCTCTGAAAATGTCATCTGAGCTAATATTTTTGTCTTCTCCTTTTCATACCAGTCACTGTACCTCCTGAAAACTACAGAATGGAAAAGACTTGAAATTTGAAAAAATATTTAAAACTGAGTTTACAAGTCTTCTGAATGTGTTTTCAAAGATGATGAAAAAAAATAAAAAAAAAAAAGTATATATATTTAATTAATTATTTTATTTATCTACTGAAGACCAGCAGTTAAATGGCAATAGAGAAGCACTGGAAAGAACAGATTCTTTTCCATAGAAAGGTAGACTTCTAGATGTTGACTGGGAGAGCACTAATGCTCAAGTGGCTTTCCTTCAATATGGATGAAATATTTACCTAGTGAAGTAATGTGAGGAATAAATAATTTTATCAAAAGGAATGGAATAGAATGGAACGGAACGGAACATAATAGTTCTGCTGGAAGGGACCTACTATGGTGTTTTCATAGCAATGCGTGGCTAAGGTGCTAAGGTCTACCACACCACTCTCTCACTCCCCCTCTTCAGCAGAACAGGGGTGGAAAATATGAAGGGAAAAAAAAAAAAAAAAAAAAAAAAAAAAAAAAAAAAAAAACAGAAATTGCTCACTAATTACCATTATGGGCAAAATAGTCACAGCAATGAATGACAATTCATAACTGATTAGAGCAGAAACTAAAGGCAAACTAAAGACACCTTCTGTCTTCTGGCTCCTTTCTCTGAGTGGCACAAAGCAACAGGGAATTAGAGTTATGGTTAGTCTATACAGTTTTGAAATCTGCTGCTCCTCCATCATCACCCTTATTCCAATGTGGGGTCTGTCCCACAGCATGCAGTCCTTCCTGAAATTATCCATTGTGGGATTCCCACAGACTGTAGTTCTTCAAGAACTGCTCGAACATGGGTCCATACCATGGGGTCCATCTGTAAAGAGCAAACTACTCCAGCATGGATTCCGCACAGGCAGCAGCTCCCAACATACCACCCACTCCTGCCTGGGCTCCTCTTTCAGGTCCATCTGCTCTACCATGGGCTCCTCCACAGGCAGCAGCATGGAGATCTGCTCCACTGTAGTACCCCACAGGCTGCAGGGGGATTGTCTGCTCCAACATGGGCCTCTCCACAGGCCCCAGGGGAACTTCTGCTCTGGCACCTGAAACACCTCCTGTCTTTCTCCTGCACCGACTTTGGTGCTTGTGGGATTATTTCTCTGTAGATTTTATCACTTGTCACTCCCAGCTGCAGTCACTTTTTAAAATATGCTATCACAGAGGTGCAACCAGAATCTTTCATTGGCTCAGCTTTGGCCAGTAGCAGGAACCTTTTGAAAGAAGCTGGGACTGGCTCTTATCTAACATGGGCTTCTGGATTCTTCTCACTGAGGCCACACCTGCAACCCTTTCTCTACCAAAACCTTGCCATGGAAGCCCAATGCAAAAATATCATCAGGTCCAACTGCTTGACCACTTCAGGACTAACCAAAAGTTAAAGCATGTTATTGAGGGCATTGTCCAAATGCCTGTTGAACGCTGACAGGCACGGGGCATCAACCACCTCCCTAGGAAGACAGTTCCATTTTTTGACCAACCTCCTCATGTATGGTAAAGAAAGGTTTCCTAATGGTCAGTCTGAACCTCTCCTGGAACAGCTTTGTTCCCATGTGTCCTGTCATAGATGACCAGCGAGCAGAGACTGCCACCTCCCTCTCCACTTCCCCTCTTCAGGGAGTTGCAGAGAGCAATGAGGTCACCTCTCAGCTTTCTTTTCTCACGACTGGACAACGCTCAGCCTCTCCTCACAGGACACGCCTTTCAGCCATTTTACCAGTTCTGTTGCCCTCTTCTGGGTGCTTTCAAGGATTTTAACATCCTTCCTATAATGTGGAGCCCAGAACCACACGCAATATTCAAGGTGAGGTTGCACTAGTATTGAATATGGTGGGAGAATCACCCCTTTTTGCCAGATAGCTATGCTGTGTTTAATGCATCCCAAAATGCAGTTTGCTCTCCTGGTTACCAGGGCACACTGCTGGCTCATGTTGAGCCTGCTGTCTACCAGCACCCCCAGATCCCTTTCTGGAGAGCTGTTCTCCAGACACTTGTCTCCCTGTCTGTGCATGTGGCCGGTGCTACTCCATCCCAGGTGCAGAACCTGGCATTTTCCTTTGTGGAACTTCATGACATCAGTAATCGCCCAGTGCTCCAATCTATGCAGAACTCTTTGCAAGATCTCTCACCCCTCCAGGGAGTCAACAGCACCTCCCAGTTCAGGATCATCAGCAAACTTGCCGAGGATGCACTCCATTCCTGCATCCAGATCATTGATAAAAACATTGAACAGGACTGGACACAGAATTGAGCCCTGGGGAACACCGCTGGTGACCAGCTGCCCATCAGATATAGCCCCGTTCACTACAACCTTTTGAGCTCTACTGTTGAGCCAGTTCATCAACCAGCATAACGTGAACCTGTTTATCTCCCAGTTGGAACATTTATCTAGAAGGATGCTGTGAGGGATGGTCCATGGTCTTCCCTTTATCCACCAAGTGACCTTATTGTAGAAGGAGATCAAATTACTAAGACAGGACTTACCCTTGATGAACCCATGTTGACTATGCCTGATCGTAGCTTTGTTCTTTAACTGCCTTTCAACAGCACCCAGGACAATCTTTGGACTAATAAAAATGAATAAACAAATAAAATTGCATGCCTAAAGTAAAATTCTTCAATTTTCAATACTAGCAATGTATTTTCTTTCCTTTTTTAGGGGTAAAGTGTCTTAAAGAGTTTTAAAAGAAATTAGTTTAAAAATTACCAGCTGAATTTACATGCTACATTCCCACCTCCAAGTAGGCATTTTAGTCTGAATCTTGATGAAAATTAATTAATTTTAAATTTATAATACCATCAACGTAACACTTTTCAAACACTTATATATGGCCTGTGAAAAGCTAGGATTCTGGACAACTCTTGCCTCATATAACAGTTTCATTGGCAAACCTGCCAGGCATCAGGGTTTGAATTTATTTTTCAAGGTTCTAATCTTTAAATTATCATTTGGATTTCTTCTTGAAATACATTTAATACTAAATCTTTTTAATTAAATATTTTTGTATTACTCCTTTCATATTTCATGAAGAAAAAAAATAAATAATGACTGCATATTTAGTTCCAGTTGGGATTAAAATTCTCTACAAACTTGACCTTGTCATAAAACCAGTTTTCTGTACCTTGGATACATGTCTTGGCATAAGCATTAACCCAAACACATCAAGACAGATTTAAACTCCCAAAACATACGTGAAATTATTCCTAAAAATAGGTTCTATATACTTTATAAACTAAGATATAATTTAAATCATATTCCTCATACATGCATTCCTATTCAGTGTTTTCAACAAGGAACAACTAGAAATAAATTCCTGTCAAGGCAATCAGAACTAATTCTAAACAGCACATCACTTTGTCCTCTCAAACTATTTAAATTTTAGTCCCTTGCATTTTTCTCATTACATCATAAAGAATTAATATGCAATGAATTCTGCTTGAGAATATCTCTTTACAATTCAAAGTATATTGCCTAAATTGTAGTCTATTATCATTTTTGTCCTTTCAAATACATTAACATTTACTGTGTTGCATGGATAGTTTTCTCTATTTTGTATTATATGGTACTTCCAAACCACACAAAATTGTGATGGTGGTATTGTAATATATGGGCAGAACCAAGTGTTTAATGTTTATCTGTACCACTGCAGTTGGAAAAAAATATATTCTACTGCAGTCCATAATATGAGTCTCACAAATGTAATATTTCCCATTAAACTACTCATTTGATAGGCACAAGTAAAGCAACCTAGTTTCCTTCATTTTCCTACATTAATTAAGAGAGAGATTAGACACAAAAAGAAACTAACAACAAAAAGTAAAAACGTTTATTTCTAAGCCCTGAGTTTGATAAGTCAATGTCTAAATTACAGAAGATGTGTATAATGGCCTATTGGTATAGCCCGTGACATAAACAGAGAGGAACATTTGAGAAGTTACTTATATTGTGCTAAAAACTGCAATAATGTATTTCATTTTTTGTAATATCAATTATAAACGGACTTCAAAGTAACACACTTAAAGTTCTCTTTAATTTAGGATATATGCAGACTCTCACAAAAGTGTTTTTTTACAATATGTCAGAAAGCGAAAATAGACAAATCAATACCACCATCACCATTTTGTGGGAAAAAAAAAAAAATGTATCAAACAGTGCTTATAAGTATATCGAGGTTTAGCCCAGCTGGCAGCTAAACACCACACACACACAGCCGTTCACACACCCTCCCCCGTCCCTCTCTGGGACGGGGGAGAGAAATGGAAAGTGAAGCCCGTGAGTTGAGATAAAGACAGTTTAATAAGACAGGAAAATAATAATAACGATAATAATAATAATAATAATAACAATAATAATAATAGTACAATGATGATAATAGTACTACTAATAATAATGTGTACAAACAAGTGATGCACAATGCAATTGCTCACCACCCACTGACCGACGCCCAGCCTAACCCCAAGCAGTCCAGCCCCCTCCCCCAGCTAGCCACCCCTATATATTTTTTAGCATGACGTCAAATGGTATGGAATACCCCTTTGGCTAGTTTGGGTAACCTGTTCTGGGTCTGTCCCCTCCCAGCTCTTGCTGCACCCCCAGCCTGCCCGTTGGCAGGACAGAGCGAGAAGCTGAAACGTCCTTGGCTTGGTGTAAGCACTGCTCTGCAACAATTAAAACATCAGCATGTTATCACCACTCTTCTCATCCTAAGCCAAAACATAGCACCCTACCAGCTACTAGGAAGAAAATTAACTCTGTTCTAAATGAAACCGGGACAAAGTATTTAACAACGTATATTAAACTGTAAGTCCTGTTATCAGTTTCATGTGGGCAGACATTCTGAATGCATGAAGCCAATTTTTTTATGATTTACAGATGACATAATTAGGCCTCTTTGTATAATAGGTTAACTGGAATAAGAATACTTATACAGATAAAAATACTCGATGAAAGCAGTTTTAGTTCATATATGGTAATGACAACATGTTCCATAGTTTGTGGTATGCTGTGGTGTCTGAACTAAAACCCATCAGAGTCAATTAGACTGCTTAGGGTATTCAAAGTTAAAGATATTTTGAAGTGCTTGGTTGAAATTATGAGCTGAAAGAAAAAAATTATATATACCTTTTGAGGTAACAACTTCTTACAGAAAATTGTTCAGATTCAAATTCTAAGAAACTGCTCATTTTAGTAAGGAAATATGTTCTGTAATACCAGAAATTATCATTCTCACTGAGAATGTGGTTACACTCAATTATTGAGAAAATGATATAATCACTTAGATTGGAAAAAACCTCTAAGATCATCTAGTCCAACAGAAGACAGAATTTGAAAACCTGTGTTTATGTATGCACATATTTATGTCTACAGAGTGTGATGAGTACAAGCATCCTGTGGTGGGTTAAACTTGGCTGACAGTCATACTCTCACCCAGATGCCCCCTCCCTCCTGCCACCCTGCCTCCTCAGCAGGGTGGAGGACGTAGAGGGGAGAAAACCAGGAAAGAGGGAATGAAGAAGTTTGCAGGTCAAGATAAAAACATGCAAATTACTTGTCAATTACCATCACAGACAAAACAGACTCAACTTGGGGAAAATTAACTTAATTTATTGCAAATTATTAATATTCAGGAATTGAGAGTACATATACATACATACATATATATATATATATGTATGTAAACTTAAAACACTTTTCCTACCACTTTCACAGGCTTCTTTACTCCAGACTCCACTACTCCTTCCTGGCATAGCACAGTGTGGATGGCATGTGGGAGAGGGTTATGATCAGTTAGTAGTGGTTTCTCTGCTGCTCCTTCCTCCTCACACTTTTCCACTGCTCCAGCATGGGCTCCCCACAGGATGCATCTCCTTCAGGGCTTATCAGCTTGCCCTGGCATGGGTCCTCCATCCACTCTGGTGCTGTGGCTCAACTCTTGCTGCTCTGATTGTGGTGTTCCTCTGTTGCTTCTCTCTCTTTTTGTCCCTTCTCCTCCTCTTTCTGTCCATCACTTTCCATCCCCTCCTCCTCAGGTTGTCCCCAAGGTGCCACCATCTTGGCTGCAGGGCTCGGCCATGCCCTGAAGTTGGAGCCAGCTAGGGCTGGCTGAGGCTGACACAGGGCAGCTCTGGCATTGCTTCACTGAGGCATCCCCCAGCAGAACCTGTGCATACTGGCACACAAGTATGGAAATAGTATATGTGCATCTATCCACTCTCTTTTGACATACATTTGTATATAGATATCATCTGTTTTTCATATATGCAAGGAAAATAGAGAAGGGAAAAGAATCAGCATAAAATGCATTCACCAGGAGACATTTCATGCTACAGAAATGCATACACAGAGTAATTTACAACTTGGAAACATAATCATGAAAAAGACAGATGTATATTCATTGAATTCATTCTATTTCATAGCCTGATCAGTGACATATGTGAGTTAAACTGACAAGATTTTACGTTTTTATATTCTGACTGTATCCTACATATTTGTATACAGCAACAGTTTAGATGCCATGGCAGGAAGGTTCCAGTTCATTGTTAAACAGACACTTCTAGTAAAGGTTTATTTTGTATATAAACAAGGTGTGAAATTAAGAGTTTTGTTAGAAGAGATTACTTCAGATGATTACCCTTATGAATTTTCTTTTTCACAGAACATATTTCATTCCACTCAAAGTCAGAACAAAGCGAAAATGTCCTACCAAAATGTCTCACTGGTATTTTGCACTTTATGAACTGTCAGTATGATATAATGTAAAATCAGAAACACATATATAACTATATCACAATCCAGTGGAATGGAAAATCTGCAGAGAAAGCACTAGAAAGAAATTAGGGAGAATGACATAAAATATAAAATTGAATGAAGGATGTTACTGGTAATTTGTGCTGTTGACCAAAGCCTATTTCTGTTCCAACTAACTTGCTCGCCCTAAAATAAAAAGAAAGCTTGTTAAAGATAATAATTTCTGACCCCTACAGCCCAATGCTGGACAGAAAGGACTGGTGATAAACAGGCTGTTTAAGGTCTCCTGGAAGTAAAAGATCTAACATTGCTCTGACAGCACAGAGCTAGAAAGCTGCCCCTCTCACTACATGATGACTTCTTGTGGCCCAAGGACTTACCACCTGGTGAAAAGACATAAAAGCCAGCTGCTGGAGTACAATTTCTCTCCTCATGCTTTTATAGGGGCTGGGCTTGGGACAGCTAAATGTGTTGGCAAAGTGTTGCTATTCCTTTTCTAGAGGATGGCTCTAGCTCATATACTTCATATGCTGCTTTAAACTCTGCCAAGCTCCAAGGTCACCCGAACACTGGCCCTATAATCTGTGAGTCATAACTCACTCCTCCACAGTCCTGCTCTGTTGCACCCAACAGATACTAGGTGAAGTAAAAAATCTGTCCTCGTTTTTAGGAAGCATAATCTTCATGTCATTAAGTAGAAAGATCTCCTGAAATACGATAACATTTTCATTCTTATGACAAAGTTAAACATACTCCCTTACAATCCCCTGAAATAAGAGTTTATATAGCTTCCTTTCCGACAAAAAGATCTTTTCCTTT